TAGTTCACGGTGGAGAACAGCTGCTGACATAATGTGGATCCGAAGATCCATAATTGGCCTACCTGGGGTTGTAAGTCTCGATAAATGCACGGCGTTTTGGTGGGTATACCGGCTTCTGCGAGTGTGACGCTTATTTTGAGCGATGAAAAATAAAAAAATACAATTTTATTTTTATATTTCAATATCACAATAATCTTCCAATTTAGAACTACATGTTAAAAAAGAACTAAATAAAAAAAATACACTTCAGCTAAATACTTCTAATTTATTTTCCCAAACCTCCTGGAGCCGCAGTATAAGGACTAAAGAGCCGCATGCAGCTCCGGAGCCGCAGGTTGCCGACCCCTGAGCTGATCAAACCTCTAAATGCAAAGCAGACTTTCTCTGAAGCTTGCAAGACTGTCAGATAAATGAATGTTAATTAGTATGTATTAGATTAATGTGTAAATATGAATGTTCTTTGTCTTTCCACTCTGATCCCTTCTTGATAACCAGAAACAAATAGTAACTGATCAGCAACATTAGGGATTTTTTACTGTAACAGACTCACTTTCATCCTCCTCGCTGATATAAAGATCCAGTTGAGGGAAACATTCCTGGTTTATGTATCCCAGTGTCCAGCCACCCAAGTGGATGTAGCCAGCAGCTCCATCATATCAGGGACCAGGCGGTTCGTGTGATTCTGAAATGGAAAGTCTGGCTTCTGCAGCTCTTTTTGCTCTGTCATAAGAAGCGAAACTCCTTAGTTTAGCTGGACAGTCTGAGTGACTCACAATTGGTCACACACATGCATATTTATTCATGCACGTACACACAAACTCACACCTAAACACGCCTACGCACACACTGTGCTTGAAGGTGGCCCGGGATAAAATGCACCTACATAGGATAAAAGACGTCAGAGGCTGTGTTTGATGTCATTTTGCTGCTAATCCTGTTCCACATCCCACATGAGAATAATGAACAGAGCACACACTCATTTCCTCTGCTGGCCTCACATCCTGTCAAACAGCAGCACGATGGTTCACGTTCAGTCTGTGAGGTTTGATCATATCCCACAAACGGAGGACACACAGAAAGACCACTTCCAAGAAACCAGTGCAGTAGTGACGTTTGGAATTTCTCATATCAGACCTGCAGTCTGTTCAGATGGCAGGATGTCAGGTTTTTGCTCAGGAATACACAAAGTGTGGAGCATCGAGTAAACTGGCCTCTGACTAGTAAGTGCAGTGTTGCCACCTTGTGGTCAGCTGTGGCAATCGCATCTTTCCTAATAAACGAAAGGGCAAAGCCAAAAACGAGAGTTTTCACAAAACCATCAGGATTTACATCATTTAGATTAAAGGGTTAATAAATAGTAACTTTCATACGGGTTACTTATGGATTCATATTTCGTCTGAACATATCCAGTGCGCTGATAATCGTGATGATTTTCCGAGAAGGTAAACATCCTGTATCCTCTGCATGTAATCAATTAAAGCAGACTTCACGTAGAAAAGTAATGGTGCTCATCACAGCTTAACCCTACAGGGCGCAGCTTGAAACATCCACTCCAGAGTCTTTGATGACCCAGAAGGAAGTTGCCCTTCGAATACTAATAGGTATGCGAAGCGGTTTAACATACAGGACACATTAGCTACAACTGCAGAACTTATGAATCTGCAAACGTGCTTCATTTTAAACACCAGTTATCTCTTCCATCACACGCATACCGCTCAGGTTTACTACATCACATTTGTTTAAAGAGTCACTCTGCAAGAAGTTTGAATGTTTTACGCAGTAAATTTATTTTGGTTCTGATGCTTTTTGCTATGTTTAAATATGTTACCTAAAGTGAAGACGCTTTCGTCTGTGCGCCTTTGCTGGTTTATACTTTATCATGGCCATTTTTATAGTGGATTTGGCTTTAGTGAATAGTTATTTACTGAATGTATCAGGTGCATTTATCTCAGATGTGTTGCTTGTCGTTGCCACAGCCAGAGAAACTTTCCACTGAAAGCCTGTCAGGGAAAATGGGTGTCAATCAGCAACTGGATGGACTGAGGGATGTTCTGGATCAGCTCCAAGTCGCTCGTGTTCCCCAAGCAACGGCCTGATGCAAAACACGGCGTTACTATGGTTGCCGAGACACAATCAGTGCATACAGTCAACGTGACTGACCCGGGCACATGGAGGACCTGAGGGAGTCACCTGCTGCTGAGGACGAGAGACTGGACTATATAGCGGAATGCGTCCTGAGGACTCTTAAACTGAAACAGGACAAATGGCAGAAATGCGTGTCCAGCGAGGACAACAGGCAGGTGCTGCAGGAGTTCCTGGACAAAGCCGAGCAGAGGACTCTGGTGGTGTCTGTGACTGCAGGAGGACAGCTACAGACCGCCTCCTCCTTCACTGGCGACTCCAAGAACAAGGCGGTGTACTTCATAAAGCGAACCACAACCACACTGAGTCCCGAATCCATGAAGGAGAATTTGTTTTACGGGGACCTGTCTTATGCTCCACTTGACCAGTTTTCTCTTCTAGTTGAGGAGGTAAGCCACAGAGCAGGGTACGTTAATGATTGTTAGGTGCATGAAGCCCTACTTACCACCACCTAGTACATTAACCTCCTACCTAGACTGCAGCAAGCATGCAGAGCTGCGAGTGAGGGTTCAAATTAAATGACCGCTTTCATCGTGGTCCAAAAACAAAGTACTATTCCTTTTT